GGAAAAATACCAATGACGAGCAATAACTGTGAGGATTCAATACACTCTCCAAGTAACGAAATATGGAAGAAAAGAAAAGAATTCTGAAAATTGACAAAGTTTTTTTTCTCTAAAACACAAAAAGTCGTGCTGTCCACGTTTAGTGTGCAGGAAAACCAGCGCTAAATGGGATTGCCCCAAATAGTCTCTCCCTCTGAAATCCAGCCATGTTTCCCACAAGCCCTCAGTGCAGCGCCTCCTCCTGCCGGGAGCCAAGAGGGGGACAGAATGAGCGAGCGCAACCAAAAGATTCAGAGATTCAAAGAAAGACAGAAACATGGCTTGATGTCATCACATCCTGCAGGGGGTGGGTGGTTGGGTGATGCTGTACAGCGTCATGGCTGGATACCACAGTAGTTCCTCCCACTAAAGAAGAAAGAAGGCCATGCCCAGTCCCACTTCACCCTTCCCTCTGCCTCTTGACTGTGACTCAGAAGAAAACATCACATTATGCAAGATTTTGTGAAATGTTAAACCTGAGGAGGGAATAAGTTAATATTTACTGTGTATAGTAACAAAAAAATCTTGATTCAGTCTGTACTGAAGCAGCCAGATATATATTTTCACAATTATATGTGTTTGTGTGTGTGAGCATGTGCCTATACACACCGACAATATTTTGGGGAAAGTGCAGTTCCATTTCTTTTTTTTGTTTGTTTTGTTTTTTGTGTAAATCTTTTTTTCCCCCCCATGATTGCCCAAACTAGGACGTTTTGGTCCCTTAACATAACAGCAGAAAAAGAAAAAAATCTAATAAATTTGGAAACCATTTCTATTTTTTGTTTATTTGCATGATCTTCATTTTTCAAGAAAAGCTACCTCACACAGGAAAAAGTTAAAATCTGGATGTGAACGAAAGCAGCTTGGGGTTCGAGAAGCGTCAGGAAGACCCCCCGGCACGGCTCGTCCATCTTCAGAAGGTGCTATTAGTATTGATCTATCAGTCAGTATTCCCCACAATTCCCAGACCATCCCACTCCCTAACTAGCCTCATTCAACACACACAGCCTGCTCAGAGTATTCGGAACTATGCGGGATGATCAAAAGACAGGGACTCTTTTGGCAATGCCGGAATTTTGCTCCCAAAGGATCGCCGTATCACTGAACAGGATGTGTGTGTGTGAGGGTGTGTATATTTTTGTTATAATTAATATTATTATGATCTTGGTCTTTTTTTGTTTGTTCTCTCTTTTTGGTTCTGGTTTTGTTACGATTTTAATTAATGTAAATTGAAAATAAAGGAAAAAACAAGGAATTATGAAGTCAGATTTTAATTGTGTTTTTAATCATCATGAGCACAAAAGGTTAAATGTTTGGATTTGGCATAGGTGTATGAAATTAGTATTGCTTGTATGTATGTGTGTGTACTGTATGATTGTGAATTTTCTAAAAAAAAGGTTATCAGACATAAAGGCTTGTATAACATGCTTCCTTAGCCTTCAAATAACCTTCTAAATATAAAACAGAATAAAAAAAAGGAGCTCCAACCACAATAACAACAGACATTTGGACCCTTAAAGCTTTTAGAAAATGAACAATATTGTAAGGTATATATATATATATATATATATATATATATATATGAATGTAAATTTTAGGGTTTTTCTTTTTTTAAATAAAATTATGTATGACTCAGTATGTTTCAGGAACTTAAATTCTGAAAGAAGCACTGAACAGTTAATTGGCAGGATAACTGTTTTAGGTTTGACTTTAGAGACAGTTTATACTTTGGTCAGTTTTCCACAAAGCTAAATGATTGGCAGATTAGAGGAATAGCTACAAAACTGTAGACTCCTTGTGTGGCCATTCACAAGGCACAAAAAATCTGTATTTTGAGGATGCAGCTGTCTCACAATCAGCATGTCAGTCAGTAAAACTAATCACATTTCCAGAGACATTCTCACTGAAATCATTACCATAATCATTGTGAATCTTAAAAAATAGCTTTAAAGTCTAAAGAGCATGTAAGAGATCAAATGAAAGAAACATACTAGGGAA